GTTTTTAATGAAATTTACGTACCCTCTGTTCGTCAAATCGCACACATTAATATGTTTATTGTATTATTTGCATAACAATGATTTATTATTAAAGCCAAAAACTTAATTGAAATGCGTTGCAAGTTTCAAAGCTTTAACTTTGCTGAATAAAAAGTTATCGCATTTTGAGTGTCAAAGATGTCTTTTTTCGGTCACAGAATTTTGGAAAATATTTACTAAGGCTATATAAGGAAAAATTCTGACACTAAAAATGCGATAACTTTTGTTCTACTTAAGATAGAAAGATAAAATAGGTATCAATGGAAAGGAAATACTGAGTCCTTTCTAATGATATAAGTTTCATTAATATATAACAACTTTGAAATTTTTAGTGTAGTACCTATTGTAAAAATTTAAAGGGATGTCCATAGAAAAAATTTAGATATTATTTTATAATTATACAACAATCTCTGAAGCTATATAAAATGTGAAATTTCAGTGTATGTTGTCTTCTCTGCTTTACTTTATAATTGTAATTGTAAAATAATAATAATGAGATATAGAATTAGTCATACTGATAATTGAATATTTTTTTTAGCTCCATTCATAGTTTCGTCAAATTAATTTTTAAAATGTGTCTTAAAAATTTGTCTTTGTCAGTAAAAATTGTGTAAATTCAGAATGTCTGTAAATTTTAATTTATTGAGTTGGCAATGCTGCAATCCCCAAATTATGCTGCAGGTATCACCATTTTTTATATAGAAAATGTAGACCTATTTTTATTAATTATGAAAATTTACGACAATTTTTTTAATTTCATCATAACTATCTTTTTAAATTGAATTTCCTGATAATGATACAAACTATTACTAGTATTACTATTACCGTAACTCAGTTAATTTGTTTAAATTTTAGTTTTATTGAATAGCCCAGTGGTCGGCAAATCATGGCTTGCGAGCTGCATGGGGCTCTTTTGCGATCTGAGTGTGGCTCGGCCAGTTGGCCACCAATCAGTTTTGACTCCATAAATTTGGAAAATAAATTTGGCTCTCAAAATACTTTTAATTGTTCTGCTGCTGATTTTTGTCTCTTTTGACTAATGAGTTTGCCGACCACTGGAATGGCCTGTATTTAATTTAATATTACTTTTTAACTGCCTTCCTCCCTACCAAAATGCAAATCTTGCAGTTTAAAGCCTTGACAAGAAACTTCATTGTTGCTTCAAAGCTAAAAAAAGCTGAAAGATCAACAGAGAAAAAAGTTCAAAGAACCACTGTTAAGGGTCCAGAAAAAGATGCCGACAAAGGAGTAAAACTTGAGGACAGTGAAGTTTTTTGGGGGAATGAGTTAATACCACAGCAATTTTTAAAAGAAAGTCCATTTCCAGATCCAGTGAGAAACACTGAAAGAGAATACTTTTTAAGTCTTAGAGATCCAAACAGAGGCAAAGTTGGACCTTTTGATAGTAAATTTTATAGTAAAAAGCACGGCGTCAGTATTGATTTACAGGCTTGGCTC